CAGTTATGGATGAATTGGGGGGACACTGAAAGGGAGGATCAAACAGGGAGGGGGAGAGAAGAAGGCAGAGAGGGAAGGAATATGTGGAGGAACAGCTAAAACTAAAAGACATGTGAGGGGTCATATGGGGATATAGTAGAAGCTTTCTAAATATACAAACATACATGAAGATAATCTAAATGAAACCAGCAAATAACAGGAAGACAGAACCCCAACTGGATATCTTTTGTCACCAAATAAGTTTTGAGTACCAGGAATGGGTTACAGTTAATGAGTTCTTGGCCAAAGATGTCCCATGGGAACCCCTAAACAACTCAGGCTATTGTTAAAGTGGCTCTTCACAAACTGAAAGTAAGGCCCTAATTACTGAACACAATACCAAAACAAATCATTGTACATGGTGCCTACCTAGAACTCACAGGTCTTTTGTGTATATATTATGGCTTTCAGTATTGTGGGGTTTTTGTTTGTTTGTTTTTGTTTTTAATGGGTTTCCTCAGTGAAAATGTGTGTGTTTTTCAACTATATGCACTTCGTGTGTTTCTTTCATCCCTTTGACTCTTTTGCTTCTTTGGCTGTTTTATCCTATTCCAATTTGGTTGTTTTTGTTTTATCTTATTTTATTATTATTATTCCTTAGATGCCTGTTTGTTTTCTAAGGAGAGACAGAATGGGTAATGGATCCAGATGAGAGGGGAAGTAGAGAGGGACTGTGAGGACTAGGAGAGGAGACAATGTAATAACACATTGTATGAAAAAAAAAAAAATGATTCCAATAAAAAATAAACACATAAAAATAAAAAATGGGTTTGAGGCCAGCCTGGTCTACATAGTGAGTTCCAGGACAGACTCCAAAGCAATACATTGAAAAACCACAAATAAATAAATAAACAAACAAACAAACAAACAAACTGTTGGTTTAATAGAGGCTGTATAGCTTTGATGCACTGTGTCAAATTTGAAGTCTTTTAATTCTAAATTAAATAATTAAAAAACATCTACCATGTTTCATATCAGTATCTTCAATTAGAAAATAAGTATTATACATTTTTTAGAGAGCCCAAGAAATTCAGAAAACTACATAAAAAATACAGGGAGACAGATGGGAAACAAATTATCAAATAAAAGAATTATGGAACTTGAAAGGCAGCTCTAAGTGCAATTAATTTGAATGCAGAAGGAAATCAAGAGCCAAGTAAATAAGACATTAGAGCACCTTCTTTCACATTTTCAAACGGCTATATAGCAAATATGAAAGGGAAAGTCAGAGGGAAAAATCAAGGGATACACAACTCAAATCCTTGCTTAAAAACAACAGAGGAGAGAGAAACAACCTCTCTAATGGAAAATAAACATAAACCTAGAATTTACATAAACTGGAAATAGCCTCTGAACATGCATTTAAAGATTTCCAAAGACTGAGGGGGAGGAAGAGCTTCAGAAGTCAACATAAGTGAAAGGACAACACCAGAAAGCCACTGAAAAAGACGGGCAATGTGTAGGTAAGAAGAGAAGCAACAGCTTCAGTCCTGCTGCCTGGAAGCAAAGGGAAACACAAACCACTTCCAAAAGGTGAGCCAGATCAGAGACAGCCAGTCTTGCCCTAAAGACCGGCCCACAGCCCTCTCAAGACCAAACATGGAAATCTTCCAAGGGATGGGTTAGTGGTAAAGGGGCATTCCATTTTATTTTTCCATATGAGCAAAGGGCAGTGCAGGCCACCACCTTCAGAACTACTATTGTTTAAAAATCCAGCTACCTTGCAGGCCTCATATCAGAAAACAGCCAAGATCAGAAATTTCCCAATTTGGCCTTCCACAGCCTCTGAACAAAGGAAAAAAACCAGGGAGGCAATTGCAGAAAGCAAGACTGCCAGGAGGCAGTGAGAAATCAAAACGTGCAGGTGGCAGGAAGCTCAACTCACACAGTCAAGTAACAAGAACTAGGCACAGTGGCAACATTTGTAATCCCTGTGCTCAGTAAACAGGGACAGGTGCACCCTTGAGGTTTACTTAGGCTTACTGGCAAGCCACTCTAGCAAAGTCAGCCAGCCCTGGCCAGTGAAAGATCCTGTCTCAGTAAGGAATGAATGACACCTTAGGTTAAGCTGCGCTACACACTATGTGCACACATGTGTACATACCTGAACCCCATCCCAAACACATACACATTTTTAAGGCGAAAAACAGAACTACCATATGACCCAGATATATCACTTTTGGGTGTATACTTGAAGGACTGTAGGTCAATATATACAAATACTAGCATATTCATGTGTGTTGAGGTTTTATTCACAAAGCCCAAGCAATGGGACCAGCCTAGATGTCCACAAGCAGATAAATGGGTAAAGAAAATGCAGTACATGTAACAATGAAATTTTAGTCAGCCATAAAGATAAATGAAACAAAATAATATTTATGGGGAATAGATAGAACTGGGTATCATTATATGAAATTAAATAAGCAAAAGAGAGAAAGAAATTATCTCTTATATGTAGAACCTACATTTAAAAGTACATTTGTACCTACATACATATGCATGTGTGAAACCACATGTGTAGATCTTGGAACTAGAAAGGGGATAATGAGAGAAGAGGAAGAGATCTTAAGGGAGGAGGGAAGAAAAGGGGATAAAATAGCTGTGATATGAAAACAGGAGTAGGTTATCTAGGAGAAGGAAGTCAGCCTACAGAGATGCAGTGACATGTGTGAGGCCACTGAGAGAGGGAGGGAATGAACAAGAAAACATGACACACATATACACAGATATGCTATCTTAAATAATTAATTCTTAAAACAATAAAAGACTTCAAATGCTAGGAAAGAAGTACAGTTTTAGGACAGTAATTCACTAGATTATGTCCTAACCAAGATCGCCTACTACACAGACAGAAGTGTCAAGCCCTGTCCACATTATTTCTCTATGTAACTCCACAGGCACTCTCTATGTAACACACAGCTGGTATTTTTCCCCAGTGCTGGCTATGATGACAATAGACACCTCCTTGTTTTCAAGAAATGAAATTGGAATAGGAAGGTTGCTCAGAAGTTAGGGGCACTTGTTGCTCTTACGGAGCACCCAGCTTTCCACATCCAGCATCTACACAGCAGCCCACAACCAGCCTTAACTACAGTCCCAGGGGACTGAACTCCTTGGGCACCAGAGCATGCATGTGGTGCTGCTCATACATGCATGCAGACAAAACACTCATACACATAAAATGAAATTTAAAAAGGAAGGAAAGAAAAGGAGGAAAACAAAGGCTTCCTACATAAGGAAAACCTTGATAAATCCATCCCAACAGACTAATACGAACAACAGATTAAACTTTAGCTCTTCAAAAAGAAATGAAGGTCAGGAGTTAGAAGGATGGTTTAGCAATTAAGAGCCCCTGCAGGTTCCTACTACCCACCACAAGAGTCTTCTGATTCCTGTCACTTCAGCTCCAGGAGATCCAGATCCATGGAAGCTCTTTCTGATTTCCAAGAACACTACACTCTCACATGCATAACATGCACAGAATTAAAAATAAAAACAAATCTTTTAAAAGTTTACAATTAAAAGAAATGAAGGCTGGAAAGATGGCTCAGTGGGTAAAAGTTCCTTTCACCAAGGCTGACCACCTGAGTTTGATTCCTAGAACCCACCTGGTAAAAGAGAAAATAAATCCCCACAAGCTGTCATCAGACATCCATATGTATTCCATAATATTAATGCAGATGCATGTATACATCGATACAACATACACTCACAAATATTTTTATATGTAAACTTTAAGTAAAAGTTGTGGATATAATATGAACATTTAGAGACAGGCCATTGCTGTGTCTTTCACATGGCAGTTTAAATATTTTAATCATTTTATATATATATGCACACACACACACACACACACACACCATGTTGAGATTAAAGTGAATCAGGTGTAATTCATTTTAAAATACAGGTAAATAACGGGAAGGAGGAAAAGCAGACAGAAGCCACAATACCTGTCTTCTAAACTAAGTCATACAATACCAAATGTGAGCTCACTGAAAAGGCAGTTGTGTAAGTAGGATGCCGTAGCAGCTATCTCATAAAGGTAATGAGGTAAATAAAAGTAGTAAAAATGAACACAAGCTCCAAATTGTACTCTATCAATTCAAAGGCAGGGGACAAGAAGGAAGAACACAGGAGAACAGAGGAGAACTACCAGGAGCTACATTAATGCTAATCCACAGTGAAGGAACAGCCAGCACAGGAAGGCAGATGTCCATGGAGCAGGAGAAAACAGTTGCAAACTAGAGTTACAACAAGGGCTTACGATCTAGAGTGTCACAGGTTCATGCCTATAGAAAAAGAGATGCGCCCAACTTGTCCTAAGGAAACCGTCACATTTTCATGTGATTTAGAAATGCAAACATTAATAATAAATACTACCTGGAGAAAACCTGAACAGCAAAATTTCACTCAGCATAAATGATTTAAATGCAAATTAAAATATTGACATTATTCAAACTTTTGTATGACTTACATAAATACAAAGAAAGTATTTCATCCTTTTCTAAATTAAAAAAAAAAATCAGTGTTTTCAAATGAAACACATGACAAAACATGATTATTTTAAGGATCCATGCTCAGCCTTGATTGAGCCTAGACATTATAATGAGGAGCTTGTATCATTATCCTTAGTATGGCGAACAACAGTCCTGATTTCTAGGTGTGCTACTGTCTATCATGCCTTAGAAGAGTAGTATATACTATATAAAAAGGGGAGGGAAAATACTTTGAATACAGTACTAAACAGAACTGGAGACAAGTATTAGCCATTGGAATGAAGTTAAGGCAGGAGGCCTGTCTCAAAGTAAAGGACATTAAGTTTTAAAATAAAAAAAGGGTTTTGATTTTCAACTACACATACAGAGAAAAATAAATCTTGAAAAGTATGATGGAAGTAGATAACTGAAACTCTCCATGAATAAAAATATCAAACTTCAGTTAATCAAATAAATAGAGTTTACCTTTTCAGATTGACCATTGCCCAGGGAATCCCAGTAGGTGTGTTAAAGGCAGGAAGGAGTTTCTCAGCCAGTTGCACTGCTTTAGTCTTGAATATCTGAGATAAAGACAAAAAAAAAAAAAATGGATAATCATAAACTGTAAGTAATATTGCATACCACAATGTACAAGTTATAAGGAAGCCTTATGGTAAGGGGCTGCATGTCGTTCTTACTACAGAGTATATAGTAACTAGAGTGGCTATCTGCAAAGTACATAAGGAAGGCTTCCCAGTATACAAAATCCTCAATCTACACATCACTGCAAAGAAAAGACATAGTTTTGGTGTTCATGTCATTTGTATTTTTACCTGGCCAAAAAAAAAAAAAAGGAAAAGAAAAAAATAAAAAAATAAATCTAAGAGAGGGCTGGGAAGATGTATCAGTGGCTGAAGCATTTGACATGAAAGCATCAAGACTAGTGTTCAAACTTCCAAACACTTACAAAAATGCTGGGTAGGCATGGGAGTCCAGAAAGTGAAGCTGCAAGCTGAATAGATATCCCCAGAGCAAGCTGTCTAACAAGACTAGCCTATCGGAGAGCTCTCGGTTTGACTGGGAAACCCTGCTTCATTAAGGTGGAAGAGCACTCCAGAATGATCCCCACAATCAACCCCAGACCTCCACATGTATCTGCACATATATGCACCCTCTAGCCCCCACACACATTAACACACAAGAAAATTCTGGCTTCCACATGTACTCACACATGTGCATCCACACACATGTGCACACAGAAAAAAGAATAGAAAAATCTAAGAGAAAACAATGAGGCTATGGAATCTTAATCAACATGCAAGCTTATTTCACAGTTTAACAATGACAACAACAAAACTGTAATACAGTTTGGACAGATGCTCTTGAGTTGCTGTAAATATGTTTTTACATAATATTAGAAAGCAAATTTTTAAAAGCAAAATTTGCAAACAACATAACTGGATATCTCAAAAATTTGAAGGCATATAAAAAAGAAGAGTATGCAATATAATATGGTCTTTATCTTTGCATTAAAACTGTAGTGCTGGTACAATATGAAACAGAGGTATTTCACTTTATTTCTAATAATATTTTACCATCAAAATAACATTTGTTTTGCTGAAGTTTTGTAAATAGTTCATTATTTTTCTTCTTTACTTAATTAACATGGCAAATTATATTATCTGTTTTGATATTAAATCATCTTTGTTTTCTGAAGCATAAACATATATGAGACTTTTTTCCATATTCTTACTGGCTGAGCTTTACTAATTTTTTGCTCAGTATTTTTACTTATATGCTTGGAGTTTATAAATCTGTAATGTTCTTTTTGCTTTGTTGTTTTGGCTGTGATATCAGTGACACTATGGCCTTAGAAAAGGAAGAAGCCGTTTCCTGTGAAGGGCAGAGCACCTGAGTTTACAGAGGCTCAATCAATCCCTAACACCCACACAAGACTTTCTTTCTGGACTTCTGAAGGACATTGGCCAAGTTATGTAATTGGCCAAGGTGTCCATCAACAGATGAATGGATCAAAGATACGATATGGTGTGTGTGTGTGTAATGAAGATTTTATATTCATCTAAAAAAGGAACAAAATCATGCCATTTGTAGGAAAATGGAATCCAATCATCTCCATGTTAAGCAAAGTAAGCCAGACCCAGAAAGACAAACCCAGCCTGTTTTCTTTCACATGTGAACTCCAGAGTCAAAACAAAGCCATGAAAATAGGACTATCTGAGAAAAGGTAGAGACTTATATTGGGAAGGTGGGCAGGAAACTACTAGGAATGGGGGCAAAAGGGTATGAAGTAACCATCAGTACATCACAGTATATCACACACACGCACGCACAAAAAATGGCACAACGAAAGCTACTATTCTGTAATTAATAAACACTAATTACAAATGGGGGAGGAGGGGAAGAAGCAACAAATCCAAGAGAAAGGTTCTGGGTAAGCATCAGGCCGGTCTGCTCCACCCAGACAAGCACTTCTGTGAGGACCCTAAAAGGGCCTCTAGGGGCTAACACCACTCTCCACCATTTACAGCCTAAATCAGAAAAACAGAAAGTTGGTAAATAAATGACTTTTGAACTATTCATTCAAAAAGGATGTATTAGACTGAATTTTCTTGCCTTTCATACCTAATAAGACTAATCAACAGAACCATTTACCTTGGAATTAATTTTGTGAAAGTTTTTATTCTCATTACCAATACTTTATATGAGGTTATTCACACCTTTTTGCTTTTTCATGCATCAATTTTTCATGCATACATCTTTTTCAGAAAATTTTTTCCATTTTACCTAAAATCTTTGTTTGCAGAACAATGTTTGGCAATTCCATTATTATGTTTTAATGTCTTTGGGGGCTCTGTGAACACCAGGCTGACAGAGTAACAATCTGCCTGAGGCAAAAAGGAATTCCAGTTCAACATGATTTATTTGGCTGGTGTTGATTCACACTTCTAGAGTTTGGCCTCAGACCATTTATTGTGAGCATACTGAACTACAGAACAATCTGAAAAAAAAGTTTTCTGATGTAATTCAAACCCCTATGCACAAGGAGGCATACTTCTCAAAGTACATGTGACTTCTTCCAAGAAAATGGATTCTAGAGATAGGCTACATGTATTATCTCAAGGGCCTGGGGAGGATCTGCTCATTTGGGCTATTAGCCACCTCTGGTCCTGGCTGTGGGATTTTGGGAACACCATGGCCATACAGATAATGCAAAGGTCACTTAGACTATTAGTCTCTTCTGATCCTGCTTGTGGCCTGGCCATATAGATAGCACAGGTCACCAAGCTATTGACCACCCCCACTTCCAGCATTCTTGGTGAAAAACAGGTCATACTTCTCTTTATTGAGTAACAATCCTAAATGTTTAACATTCCTGGTTTCTCCGGTGCTAGCTGTAAACCCAAGGTCTTTTGTGCTCCCAACAATTTTCATGGTGTCTGTGAAATAGCATTCATTCCAGATTTTGGTAAGCTATCTTCTATTAATTTAGTCAATGTATTTAGCTTAAAGGTTTTATTCAATTTTGTTGATACTTTCCAAGAACCAACTTTATAACATTTTCAATTTCCCTTGCAATTCTTTATTTGATGTTTTTATTACTTCAAGGCATTTTTTTTCCCCAAAGCCTCAACCAAGGCTAAACTGGAACACACTTTGTAGTCCAGACTCCTGAAGTACTGGGATTATAATGAGCTATGGTGATATATTGTTTATGATCTAATAAAGCTTGCATGGAGATCAGAATATAAAACTACCCACCTACCAAGGCTAGGGCAATCCTGTCCTCAAATGTGGCTAGAGACTAACTCCTGAATCCTCTGTGTGGCTGCAGACTGATTGCTAGGTCTGAGATCCTGTTCCTGTTTCATAATCTCTCTAGTGCTGGGATTAAGGCATGTACCACCATTGCCCAGTTTCTATAGCTAACTAGTATGGCTGCTTGAATTAAATGTGTATACCATCACTGCCTGGCCTCATATCTTTCATCCCTATAATAAGCATCCAACCCAGGGCAAATGCTCTACAGCCAAGCTATACACTCTATTCTATTCTTTTTGTTTTCCATTTATCACCTCCAGAATTTTGAGGGGTCCCTCTAGGCCTTCCTATCTGCCCTTTTTTTCTTTTTCTTAAATGATCTTTTTCTAGAAATCTATTTATAGACGCATACATCTCACCATTATTTTTAAATTTTCTTAGTGTAAAATCCTTAACTTTTCAGACTACCAGGTATATTGTTATAACAAATCCCTATAAAATGGAAAAGCTTCCAATTATTTAAGTCATTTTCTCAATCACTTTGTCTTATTTCATAGCTGATATACATTACAGTTAAATACTGTAATAGAACATTCTGGGTTGGCTTTTTTGTATTAAATAAATACATCATTTTAATGGTATTAAATGAAAAATAAACTGCATGGTTTCAATTATTTAAATGATAATTTTTCATGGTATCATTTTTCCCTCAGTATTTTCAAACTTTTTATTTCTGGTGTCTAGCTGTATGACTAAGTGTACTTAGTCATGGTGCCCTAGTTAGATTATCTGTCAGCTTGACACAAGTCAGGGTCATTTGGGAAGCAGGAACCTTAAGAAAATGTCTCCATCAGATTAGCCTATAAGCAAAACTACTGTGGGTTTCTTGATTAATGACTAATGTGAGCCTTAGGACCAGCCTACTGTCGGTGGTCCTAAAGCATATAAGGCAGCTGAGCAAGACACAAGAGCAAACCAGTAAGCGTGCTCCTCCACAGCCTCTGCTTCAGTTTCTGCCTCCAGGTCCCAGCCCTGACTTCCCTTCATGATATACAACTGTAACCTGATACACCCTTTCCTCCCTAAGGTGCTTTGGTCATAGTGTTTTGTCACAGCAATAGAAATTCTAACTAGTATACATGGCAAGAAAACATGATTTCATTTTAGGTCTCCCACCAAAATAGAACATTATGGTTGTTGTTGCTATCGTCATCCAAAGTACAAGTACATCAGATGTTTTAATATTAGCACTTGTCCTTTTTTTCCTTTTCCAATTTTATTATCTTCATGTAAAATAATTTACATTGCTCTATCTTCAAGTCTACTGATCTTATTTCCAATGACAGCTGTAAACAGTAATTTTTTTTTTAATTTTGGATACCATATTCAGCATCTCTAGACTTTTCAATGTTGTTCTTTTTCAGAACTAATTTTTACTAAGATTTTCATCTATCCAGTAACCTCAAGAATATTTTCCTTGATGTCACTAATCCTAGTTGTAAAAAATACTATAAAACCTTTATGGAGGAAGTACAGATAACATTTTTTCACATATTAGTAATTTTTTAACTGAAAACTGATCACTATAAATTCTGAGACTTTCATTACTGTTATATCCTCTGAAGAATGCTTGTTTTATGTTTTCTGAAGCACATAGCTAAACTCAAAATCCAACCATCGTTCCATATAGTAGACAGCAGCTGGAACAGGAATGTTCTGAATCAAGAGTACCATCTAGGAAGTTTGATGTTTGTTCTACAAATGCTTACTTTTGGGAGTTAGTCTAACAAGTAGACTTGTG